AAGCAGCACTGACTGGTCCCAATAGGGCAACTCCCATCTGCAGCAGAGTCTGATGGAGGGTGTGACGTGTCAGGAGCACAGTGCTGGGGCCTCGCAAAGAGCAGGAGGAAATGGAAAGTCTTGCTTTTGGAAGACCTAAACGCCAAGAGAGAGGAAATAGCATAGCTCGAGCCTGCATGGTGCTGAGCGCTCCTTGCTGCTGCTGGAGCTGCCAGAAACCCAAGGCGCTTGACACCTCTTAAGATTGCTTTTTACCTTTACAGGGTTAATCCTGTCGCCAGTGACCTGCTCTTGTCGCTTGCTGCTTGGGACTTCCAGCACAGTGTCTAGGAGCTTTTAATTGCCTTCTTTCCTAACACTTCTCTGCAGTATTAGCAAACGGCATCGCCCAGGCAGCGTGGCAGGCTCAGAGTGCAGAACAAGAACCAGCCATCACACCTGCCCGTGTGCGGCCCCATGACTCACCCTGGTCAGGGGAGATCGCGCGTAGGTGGAGGTGGTTCAGTTTTTGGGGCACCATTCAAGCTCTAGTCTGTCCTCTTGAGACCAGCAGTTTGGGCAGGGTTATTTCTGTGTTGGAAATGACTGCCTTCTGGGAAGTGCCCGGAGGCCACCGGGCACGGCGCGTAGGTCTCTGAGCTGCAGTCAGAGAGGGTGATAACTTTCAATCGATACTGAGGCGTGGGCTGAAAGATCAGGAAGCGAAAGTGCCGTTTTGCATAGGGGTACAGAGCTGCTCAGAGGACTAGAGCTGTCTCCAGGAATAAGAGCATGTGTAAGTTTTTTAGTAAAAACAGTACTTGCCCATGCGTTTTCTTTGCAGTTAATAAATCAGCTTCAGGTTTCAGACAGGGGAAGTGAGACATGAAGAGCCAGGTGCCTTTCAGAGTATTCTGGGGCAGTCGAGAAATAAATGTGCCCAAACCAGACGCGATCTTTCTGCTATAAAAAGGATGGTTTGAGATTGGAATTAGTAATAAATGGCACGGTGCATCTTTCCTGTGAGAGAGAGGCCGCAAGTCATGCGCCAGAGATGTTCCCAAAATACAGTTGGTTTTATTATTGAAAAAAAGAGTCTGCTCATTTGCATTTTGATTAATGCTTTGCCTCAAGTCTTTGCTGAAAGTTCGAACGCTACCAGTATCACTGGGGGAGAGAAATTCAGCAGGCATAAGAAAACTAACCTGGTGAGCTGAGATGCTCCAGCTTTTCTGGAGCGCTAGAGCTTGGCTTCTGTTAAGCCTGAAATGAGCAAATCCTCACTATGACTTTAGTCTGAAATATTTTTTGCCTCTGTTTAAGCAAGTCTTAATCTCTCTAAGTAGGCAACATGAGCTCAAGAGGCTCACCCGGACTGTGCCAATGGCCTTGAGTCTCTGTTTCTCCTGCCCTGGGCTAGCGGTGAGGACACTCGTGGACAATCTGTAGGACCAGGACTTTAAAGCTGCTGCTGCGTTGCCCTGCTTGGTGCTACGTACGCAGCAGCATTACATTTTGTACAGCACTGCTCCATGGCAAAATACAGCAGAATTAATCTAGTAAAAGTGTGTGCATTTTTAAGTACTGGGAGAGAGAAAGAATAAATTAGATGGGAGGAGTCAGCGAGGCATGGAGAGGGAAGGCTGATCCCTTCAGCTGGAGGTGGGGAAAGCAAATTGTAAGAGGCCAGTTCCTAGTCCAGTTGGAAGCAGTGGTGCAGGAATAAGGTGGGCATGTTTATAGTGTTTGGTAGGGGAAGGGGGAACTAGGGAAGGCAAGTCATCTTTCCCCTTGGCCGCAGCAGCAGCAGCAGCAGCCCGGAGGGGCAGCCTGAGCCCCGCAGAGTTTTACCAGCGCTGATACGCAGGCTCTGAGAGCAAGGAGTGTGCTGCCGGCATCTCTTGCCGGGCTCACAAAAACCCTGGTGGGGACTGGAGATAGATTTTGTCAGCTTAGCTTGTGTCATTCAGGGAGGTGACGTTATTAAAAGTGAAGTTGCACGCGATTTCCCAACCGGTCTGCTTCCTGATGACGGTGGGCGGCAGACTGGCGTGCAGACGGGACCTCAGGTGCATGCTCGGGACCTGGCATGCTCCCAGCTGTCTGGTTATCATCTGCGCTTCCTTAACTGAGGAATTTACCATCAGCCAGAGCCTGTGGGTTGATGATAACGGGGTGTTACAAGCACAAGCTCTGTTTGTACTGCAGAGTCCAGGGCAGAGGTGCAAATCTCACCCTCGGGCTGATTTGAGCAAGTCAGTGTAGAGTTTTGCAGCTGGGTCCTGAAATGTGGATTTAAGTGGAATTAAGATGTTGCTAAAACATGTTTATGCTTTTTTTAAAGAAATTATTATTATTTATGTATAAAATGGTAGAAAGCAGCTCTCACCCCGGGGCTGGAGCCTGGCACCCCAGGGTCAGGATGCCACGAGGAGTTGGTGAGGAGGAGGCATGGGTCCGCGGTAGGCGAGGGAGCAGGGAGGAGAGGCTGAGTCACGGTGGCTGCGCGCGGGGCTGCAGGCACGGCGCTTCCCGGCACTCGGGCAGGGAGGATGTGGGAGCACAAGGCAGGCAGATGACTCAAGCTGGGGACTGGCTGTGTCAGAGGAGATAGAGCTGGGCTTGACACACATCCAAAAAAGACAATGATGTCTTTGAAAAACGTAACTGAAGGCGGCTGAACTGCAGTCACAAGTTAAATTTTTGAAGGCAGAAAGAGGTGAGGAAAAGACAAGTAATTAAGAGATGAGCGTCAGCTTTGTAGAGACGACAGAGCAGGGGGAGAGTAGAGGCATTAGGAAAATAGACACTAGAAACTTGGAAAAGGGATTTTAGCAAAGAAGTGGAGTTAGTTTAAAAGAGCTGAAGGTTGTATTTGGTTTTCTCCAAATCTGATCTTTTCTGACGCAGAGCAGAAGAAGAATTCACCTCTCTTTACTTGTGGTTTGCCAACAGACAGCAAAAAGTAAATGTGCATTGAGGGACAGCTCTCAAAAAACATGCCAAAATTGGAATGGCAAAGCAGCACGCTTCAGAAAGCGGATAAGAGATTAAAAGAGAAAAAGGAAATTGAGGACTCTTAAACTTTGCTGTGTTGAAACTGAACTCTGGAATGCTTCGCTTACATTGCAAGGGTAGGTAGGGCTCTCCGTGGTGTTCACCAGTCACTTGCTTCCTGGATGCTTGGTCTATGAGACAGGGATTTCATGCAGGGCCATGAAGCAGGTGGATGAACACGTGTTCATAGTAAGATAAGGTGCAAAAGGTGTTATTGTGTCATGTGTAAATCTGACACCAAACCACAGTGAAATTCAGCAAAGCTCTTGGTCTAACATGGCATCCAGTATTTCAGTATATTTTGATGGAAACACTGACACAAGCGAGAAGGAAATTTCTGTTGGTGGAAGGGAAGCTGGAAAATGCAGAGAAAGGATGCAGAAGTGAAAAGAGAGGGGTGGGCCACGGCTCTCCAGAGCCTCAACTTTTTCGCATTGCAGCTCACACGGTTTCACAGAATTCTTGTGTGAACAGCTCTCGGTTGTAACTTTTGCTAGCTGTAGCTAGGAGGGTGGTGGGTGTACCAGGAGATGCAAACTCAGGTACCCGTGGTGACGGACAGACATTACCTAGAGCTAAAGCTGAATACTGCAGCAAAAAGCACTATGAAACAGAAGATTTCCTGTAAGTGTGTAGAGCAGGAAGTCTTGGAGGCTACTATCATTTTAATACTCCTTTAGGAATCTCACCTTGGTTTCTTCAGTTTTCTCCCTGCTGATTTGTGTTTTCTGGGGCAAGTGTATAAGGCAAAGCCATCTGTTTTTTGAGGGGTGTTGTTCGTGTGGTAATCTGTTTTCACGGTTGACTAGTTTTTACGAAAATGGGGTTATGTGCAACCCGCCTAAAGATTTTTCTTTTTTTTTTTTTTAGCTATCTTGGTCTGTAGGAGTTAATGACGCCCATATTTAAAATAGTACCTCAAGTAGTTAGAATATCTCTGGATATATTTAGCCAGAGAGACTTCACTGGTGGAGACTGGAGGATTAGGAGGAAAGAAAGCAGCAGGGCACAGCTCAGGAAAGCAAGGACACTCGTGTAATGAGAATATTGTCTTTTTATAAGAATTTCTTTCCTTACAGGAAGTTTCTCTAATGAAGGCAGAGATCATAATGCATTTGTGTGGCTGCAAAGTTTCTGCAGTCACAGAAACTAAGCCTGAACACCCCCAAATATTGCAGGATTCCTGCTGAAATGGCAAGTATGGGCACTCACGAAAGTGCATTCAGCTACTGCACTTTCTGTTAAAAGCCTTGTAAAATAGCTGAGCTTTAGCACTGTGGCAGGTCCTGAAGTGCTGTTCAGAAAGCAGAAAGTCACGCTGCTGCCTGATTCTCGAGCATCAGGCAGGAGCGATGCTCACCTTGCACTGTAGGCAGAGGTAGCAGCAGCTGAGCTGCCCTCTCTCTGGGGTACATTTTGCCTCCAGCGCTGGGCAGTGCAAGGTTTGGTGGCTTAAATTCACCCTGTGGTTTTGTAATCCATGGGGTATGGCACACACTGCAGGTCTGTCTGGCCGCTGCCATTGCTGAGATGGCATCTGCCAGGTGTTGGAGGTTGATGCTGAGGGGTAGGTGGCTTGCAGCCTTGCGTATCCCAAGCTCAGGGACTCCAGAACAGATGTTATAGTAGAGCTCTCCAACCTTTCTGCAGAGTTACCTTCTTCATACTGAAAGCACAGTGGCATTAGCCCTACAGCTGAGGCGGCACAGAGGGAATGGTGCTGGGGAGCTGGCTGCTCTTTTGCAGCCCCGTCACACCAAAGCATCCTTCCAGCACTGCCGTGAAAGAGCAGTCGAGCTATGTCTGAGCTCAGACCACATGCATGTGTTTCAGTTGCGTCCTTGAGGAGACAGTTGAGAGTGAAGCCTACAACCTGATTTTCTTTCTTTTCAATTAAAGGCAAGTAGTGAATCTGAAAATGAGAGCCCAAAAAGAAGAGGCCAGAAGCAAATGAAAAAACCGTAAGTTTCTAGGGAAAGGGGTTTGAATGGTGGTACTTTGTCTTTTTTTATTTTTCAGAACAGTAGCATTGGATTGTTTGATAGGCGTTGTCAACAGGGAGAGCTTGTCAAATAAATTATTTAGTATTTCCGGTAATAATACTTTGGGTGACTAAAATTAAAGTATGAATATGGATCTACAGATGGATGCAATTTCCCAACTTTTCTTTTGTTTATGTTTTTCCACTTTGCCTGTGACAGAATCTGAACAAGTCAGGTTCACTTTCTGTTGTCACACAGTCTCTCACTTCTCCATCAGGTTACTTACTATCTTTCAGAGATACTTAAAACAGTTAATCCCTGCTTCTCTCCCCTTTTTGAGTAATGGGGAATAAAATGCCAAATTATCCTCCTTCATCTTTCATAACCCTCTGCTACAACAAAAGACCTTCCATAAAGGATATTTTGGATGTCCGATCACCATAACTGAGTTCACTTACAGTCATATTTTACTGCCTTTTTCCGTCTACTAAGTACCTTCTAGTTTTTTCAAATACTAAAGTGAACTGTGAAGGGAACTACAAGCTGCCTGCTGGAGAAAACTTAAACGCAGCCACATGATCCAGCTCTCTTTCTACTGTTTCATGTCTTTTAATTTTTGTTGTACACACTAGTGCAGAACAGGAAGGAAGGTAATAAAGTGCAGAGAAGACTGTGGTAGTATGGACCTCTCCTGGGCAAGGGTAATAATCCCTGTGGACTCCCCAGGTACCCCCCGGAGGGAGGAGACACTCCTTCAAAGGGCATTTTGAAGCTGCAGCTTTGCTCTGAATTGCCCACAGAGAACCTGCTTCCTTCCTCTAATGGTATGGCATGATTTGGCTTCACACTTGGAAACTTTAATTGCCTAAATTTAGATGGCAGGAGACTTCTTGCTTCATTTTCTGGGCTACAAGGAGATCATGTAACTGTGCATATTGTGGCTCATACTCTGGAAGTGAAAGCAAGCACTTCTCTTAAGATTTTTCCAGCTCATTTCAGAAATGCAAAGTGGAAATGAAAAATACATAAATTGAAGCACTTGCCCACCCATTTGTAAGATGTACAGCTCTGCCACAAGCACTGTTGTAGTACGTGCTAAGAGCTACTCTCACTCAAGATATACTGCCCCATGTGAACTAAAACCTAGGTTAGTGAGGCCTCTTCCTAAAAGCAGAGAATCATGCCATAAAATCCCCGATGCATTTCACTGAACAACCAAGAGTGCAGTTTGGAACTTTTTCTTGTAATTATGGCCTACTAGTATTAACCTAGGTGAGTTCGATGTCTGTTTAGCCAAGTATTTGTGTGGAAATATGATTGCTCTTCATGACCTACATTTCTGACCATAGAAATAAATGGAAAAGAGAGGTTTCTGGTGAAGAAGAGGATGAAGATGGAGGGGAGCAAGGCACCAGCGGAGAGAGTGAGCCTGAACCGAAGAAAGTTAAAGCAAGAAGACCTGCGCAAAGAAGGTAAAGAATGCTTGGTTCTGTCTGTCTCTTTTTCTGCCTATGTGCTGGGTGGAAAGGTAATCTCTGTTTGTCACTAAAGAATGGTTTTTCTCTGCAATATTATCCTTGTTTACTCTCTCATTTACCCATTTCATGCTTCAGTGAGTGATGCAGTGGTTTCCATGGTAGTTAGAGCAGACTAAAGCCCTAGGAGTCTAATATTTGAGATTCACACTTTCTTAAAGACTTACTATAATGGATGTTTATGTAAAACATGCTGTATTATGTCTTTCTTTTAATTCTTACTTTAGAACAGTGGCCAAAACCAGTGTTAAGAAGCCTCACAAACCCCAGCGTGGGAAGAAGAGAAAGAAACAGGATTCATCTGAAGATGATGATGACGATGAAGATGATGAGACCCCCAAGAGACAAACTCGACGAAGAGCAGCCAAAAATGTCAGGTATCAAGAAGCATGGGGTTGCTTGATGAGGAGAGCTGTCTGGCTGGGGAAGAGGAGGCACTGGAGGGCCCTGACTCCCTGTGCAATCCTCCAGAGAGACCCTGCTCTGCCCTGCAGATATCTGTTGGCTGAGATGTGGCTCATGCTGCGAACATCTGACTTCTCTTTACCTTGTTTTGCCATCTGTAAAGGAGGGAATATTTACCAGTCCCTCTTAGAGAATGTGAGGAGATTTGCATAATGTTTCTAAAGCACTCTCAGTGAGATTAAGAATTGCGGCTAATAGATCAAAATGATTAAAATGATTAAAATAAGCTGTGCTAGATTGGACCAGTTGTCTGAGAGTGGCTGGTAGGTAATGCCTTGGGACAGAGCGTTGAGACATGGTGGAGATAAAGCATTATCCATTCCCCACTATACCTTCTCACCTTCTGGCAGTCCTAATAAGTCCCTAATAAGGGACTTGCAAAGAGCCACCCGAATAATATTTTTTGGTGGTTAAATCAAAGATGAGAAGTGTAGTTCCTAGGGCAGTGTAGGCACCCATGCAACCTTTTGATGCTCTGCAACCTCCATTGTTAAACATAAAATAATTTTTCCCTGGATAGAGGAGACTTTCTCTGTTGATGGTCTGTCTGCTGCTGCAGGGATTGTTCCACCTCCTCATGAAGCATCTGGTGTTGGCCATGGTCAGAAAAAGTATATGGACAAGATAGAGTATAAATCTGATAAGGTGTAGCTATCTGAGTGTCTCAGGGAAAAATACTGAATGGCTAACTTAAGAAATGCATGTGCTGAACATGCGCTGAACCCTAGGATAAATGCTGGACAAGGCTTGCCTCCAGTCCATGCCATTCTGTGTGTCTCTGGACTGGGAAGAGTCAAGGGCTTTTTATCAGTTTGGTTTTGATCTTGTTCAGTTACAAAGAAGATGATGATTTTGAGACGGATTCTGATGACCTGATAGAGATGACTGGGGAAGGAGCTGATGAACAACAAGACAACAGTGAAACTATTGAGAAAGTCTTGGACATCAGGCTTGGAAAAAAAGGAGGTGGGTAGTTCTGGAAAAAGCCTTTATTTCTGATGTCAATCGTGCACTCACAGTTTCTCTTGACCTGGTGCAATGCTTTTGCAAATTCAGAGTGGAGCCAAAAGGTTGTTCCAGTGCTCTTCACCCTTTTCTCTATGTCTCTTATTTATGTCTTCTAGTAGCTTTTGTAAAATCTAGTATTGAAAAGCCTAAAATGTTAAGTTTATGTGCTTGGCAGCTTTCATTTAGCGTGCATGCATTTTAAAGACGCATTCATTGTTCTGCAATTCTTGCTTTTCACTTCTCTGAAATATAAAATAGATCTTCTAGTAGAGTCAGTTTTCATAGCTCCATTGACAAAGCCATAATGAAAATAAAGCCAATGTTTTGTTCTCATAGCCTTACAAAAGTGTTTTTGTAAAACTGAATGGTCGTGAACATTTTCAAGAGACCTTTGAATTATACTTAAAGAAAAAGCATTTATGATAGAGAGATTTAAAAAGATTCTGTTGTATGGAAAACTTTTGTGTGCCTGTCTTACTGGGTTGCAGAATCTGTAGGATATTCTTTGTGCTGTCACAAAAGATGTATTAGAAAAATAACTTTCTGCTCTAATGCAGTTCATGTCTAGTGCTTGATAACAAAGGCATTGACTGCAGCCCAATTTCTTTTGCAGCCACTGGTGCTTCCACCACAGTGTATGCAACGGAAGCCAATGGCAATCCAAGTGCTGACTTTGATCCTGAAAAGGATGAGGGAGAAGTTCAGTACCTGATCAAATGGAAAGGCTGGTCATACATCCATAGCACATGGGAGAGTGAAGAGTCCCTGCAGCAGCAGAAAGTGAAGGGCCTGAAAAAGCTAGAAAACTTCAAGAAAAAAGAGGAAGAGATCAAGCAATGGTATGCTTTACTTCAGTCAGTGATTTGGCCTTGGGCAAATCTTTTTTAGCCAGAGGTTTGCAGAGTCAGGACTGAAAACACTTGATTTCTTCTTGCAAAGCATGATTCATCCAAAGCAACTGTTTCTGGTGCACAACACTCACATCTCTCTCTCCCTGCTGATGAACATCTCCCCTCATAGAAATTACGTCTGTGGCCATGGTGTTGAAAGAGAGAGGAAGAGGCACGAACTCCACAAGATTGCTACTTCCCAGTCTTAAGAATCGGGGTAGCTGACAACAGATAAATGGTGCACAGATTCACCTGGCCCAGGAGGTGACACGAAGGCTTGCAGCCTTATTAACCCTTGTTAATTGTGGGCTTGTCTGTATGCAAGTTTTTGCATCAGTTTATGTCCAACCTTCCGAGGAACTATAAGGGGAGCTACGGTGTGTTTCCAGAGTGATAAAGCTGGAGTAGCAGCTTCCATCTCTGTTTGATTCTGGTTTTGAGACTGATTCTTGCAGCAGAATCAGGTGTCATTTAATGGGGAGACAGTATGAACATCTGTGATATTTGCTTCTCAGTAAGGATTTATACTTACAGGAGGCTTTAAGAAACATGTCATATAAGCAGTAGTCTGCTTCAGTGACTTGTCTGAATGACAGAAACCATATAGGAAAGTAGAATTTCTGTATGTGGCCTCCATGAGCATTATGACAGAAGCATGATAGTGGGTTTTTATTTTGGTTTTTTTTTGGATCTAGGCTGGGCAAGGTATCACCTGAAGATGTGGAATATTTCAACTGCCAACAAGAGCTAGCTTCAGAGCTGAACAAACAGTATCAAATAGTGGAGAGAGTAATTGGTAAGTGAACCCAACACTTTTGTAAAGGGCTGAAGTAAGGCATGGGAACTTTAATCTCTAGCGACAGCACAGTGAGTGTACGGAGCTCTCTTCTTCCCTGTCCTCCAGTATCTCTGAGAACAGAACTGGCGTTAAGTGTATTTCATTGTGTGAAATTCATGAATTTGAACAGTAGAAATCCAGGTTTACAGACTTGTATTTACAAGCAATACCAGTCAGTCACTCTCCTTGCCTGGAGTATGGGATCATACGCTAGTTTCCAAGGGGATGTTGAAGTTGCTGCTTCTGGTGGAGTTCTTTGACTTCTGCCCTTTGGATGCAAGGTGTTTGCATCCAAAGCAGCAGTACAGGCCTGACTTCTGTGAGGACCACTTTCCATGATGTTGCTGTTGAGGATGTGGTTAGGCTGCAAGGCAGCTCAGGGGTTAGATTTTCATGGTTACTTTTTCAAAATAAAACCAGGACTTACTGAGCACTTCAGTAATATCACAGTCATGTAAGTCAGAGGTGCTGGCATCCAGTTGCTTTGGGAGAGCTGTTTAGTCTATTTCCAATACAATTCCTTTAAAAATGCATGGGGTGTGTGGCAGCGACAGCCTGCCTGACCTGCTCCTTCTGCTGGCTGCCAGCACTCCAAACCCTTCCTTCCCTTCTCTCTCCAAACACAGCTGTGAAGACCAGCAAGTCTGCAACGGGACATTCAGATTTCCCAGGTAAAGGAGCATTTTTTGGTCCCTCTAAACTTTTCCTACAAGCTGAGACCTGTCTTGTGGTTGCATGGGTGGCTCAGACTGCCCCCATGAACCATGCTTGTGGTTCAGCCGCAGAACCACAGTTGCTGAGGTTTGGGCTTTTTTGCATATTTTGCAGCAAACAGTCGCAAAACATCCTCGAATGACCCCGAATACCTGTGTAAGTGGATGGGTCTGCCCTATGCCGAATGCAGCTGGGAAGATGAGGCTCTGATAAGCAAGAAATTTCAGCACTGCATTGACAGCTTCAACAATCGCAACAACTCCAAAACGATTCCTACCCGGGACTGCAAGGTTTGCTTGCTTCTCTCCTGTTGTTGGGTTTCTTCAGGCTGGGTGATGATGCAAGCAGTGGGAATGTGAAGTTTTGTCAGGATAAAAGTCAGAGAATATTTTCCTATCCTCCCACCAGTGTTTGAATGGTTGTTTGCTGTTCTTGTATTGTACTTTAGGCAGAGATGTGAACCCCCTTTTGGTTTCATTTACTCTGCACACACTGAGAACTTTATATCCCCCTGGGGAGTGGGAGGCTTAATTAATCCTTGCAAGGTGCTTCCTCCTCAGAAGGAGCTGCTGCAGAAATGCAAAGTTTTAATATCAGTTGAATGAAAAAACAGCATACCTGGGAAAAGAGAAAACCTGCAAGATGCTGATACAGTGGAGGAGAGGGACAGAGATAATGGGAAAAAAACCAAAAGGACAGAAACCAAAGAGGAGCTTGTTCCATCTAGTGTGCATTATGTACAGCTGTCGTGGTTTAGCCCCAGCCAGCAACTAAGCACCACGCAGCCGCTCGCTCACTCCCCCTACCCCGATGGGATGGGGGAGAGAATTGGAGGACTCTTACTTGAGTAAGAGTGAGAAACACTCCTGGGCTGAGATAAGAACAGTTTAATAATTGAAATAAAGTAAAATAGTAATGCTAATAGTAACAGTATAATAATGATAATAATAATAATGATACACGAAGCAAGTGATGCACAATGCAATTGCTCACCACCCGCCGACCGATACCCAGACAGTTCCCGAGCAGCGATCGCTGCTCCCCGGCCAACCCCCCCCCAGTTTATATACTGAGCATGACGTCATATGGTATGGAATAGCCCTTTGGTCAGTTTGGATCAACTATTCTGGCTGTGCCCCCTCCCAGTTTCTTGTGCGCCTGGCAGAGCATGGGAAGCTGAAAAAGTCCTTGACTAGCATAAGCAGTACTCAGCAACAACTAAAACCATCAGCATGTTATCAACATTCTTCTACTAAATCCAAAACACAGCACTATGCCTGCTGCTAGGAAGAAAATTAACTCTATCCCAGCCGAAACCAGGACAACAGCTTACTGCACTTCTGGGGGGGCTCACAGCCCTGATCATGAGAACCAGAGGACGGCAGGCAAAAGGTAACACTGCGGAATGGTTTTCTGAACTGCAGACATAAGCACGGGCTAGGAAAATGTGGACAGATTCTAACCAATGAACAGATATATTCTGTTGTATTCTGAATGTATATTCACTGCTGAGTTTTCAACCTTACTTTGTCTTTTTCTTCAGTGGGCTTACAGCATCTTCTTTTCCAGGTATTGAAGCAGAGACCGAGGTTCGTTGCCTTGAAGAAACAGCCTTCTTACATTGGCGGTGAGAACCTGGAGCTGCGAGATTACCAGCTGGAGGGCCTCAACTGGCTTGCTCACTCATGGTGCAAGTATGTACAGATGCTGTGCGATGTTCGTTTTGTCTCCTGATTTTTGTCCCAGTGATCTGGGGATCTGGCCCTCTTGTTTTCAAGTGAGGTCTTTATCCATCCTGCTTCTGCAGCCTGAAGGATTTCAAAAGTTATCACGCCCAGCTGCATTGCAGACACCGCAAACAGGAACTATCTAGAGCATGAACTTAAGAAACCTTGTGCAAAAACAAAAAGCATTTTCCTTGTCTGGGCCTGTTCATATGCAGGACTTGGCTGCTGTGTGAGCCTAGTGCATATCAGCCCTAATTTTCCATTGCCCTAACTGAAAAAAAGGTTTCTGGCTTGGCATGCTTACACACTTGTTGAAGTATTTGAGAAGTGTCCTTCTGAAATTAGGCCACTGACTCCCCTCTCCCTTTGCCTTTGTCCTTGCTTGCCAGCATGGAGTGATTGTAGTCTGTTCTTTTTGCAAGTTATTGTGCCACATACAGTCTGGATGTTCCTGGGATCCACTTTGAAGTGTTCAGATAAATGTTTTTGCACTGCCCCCTTTCTGTCCCTGTCATGGATTGCTATTCATGCTGGTGCACCGTAAATTAGTAGTGGCAGAAGCGCACACTCAGGCAGGATTTATGTTTGTTCTCTTCCTTTTCAGGAACAACAGCGTGATCCTGGCTGATGAAATGGGCCTGGGCAAGACAATTCAGACAATATCATTCCTGTCGTACCTCTTCCATCAACACCAGCTGTATGGCCCTTTCCTGGTGGTGGTGCCTTTGTCCACTCTCACCTCATGGCAGAGAGAGTTTGAAGTGTGGGCACCCGAGATAAATGTGGTGGTTTACATCGGAGACCTCATGAGCAGGAACATGGTGTGTAATCAGAAAGCAAAGGGTGTGGGATTGGGTAGAAACACTGGGTGCAAAGCAACAGCGTCTGTGTAACAAGTGACACATTCTGCTGGAGAGGCTGACAGATAGTAGTGGCAGTGCTGCAGGCAGCTAGAGCTGGTGTAGCTGAGCACTTGGGTATAATTCACTGCTGCAGGGACTTTTCTACCTTATTTTCCCTCTTAGAGTGAGTACAGGAGTACTGGCTTCCCTCAGAGGGTCTGGAAACCGCTCCTGCACTGGGATGAAACATGCTGCAGTAAGGAGTACAGCAGTGTAAAAGTGCTTGCCTCCTATGTTCTGAATTATTAAGGCAACGAAGCACACAAATGTTGTGAGTCTAGTGGTGTCACTGGTGAGATGATGCATTCATTTGGCAGATGAGGGGTAATGTCACAACAGCAAGTTGTTTTGACCTTACTTGTTACCTGTGCAAGGGCAGTTGAACCATGTGTGCACTAAAGCTGCTCCTTGGGCACCCTGAGCTCATCGAATGGCACCTTGAACAACAGGGGTTTTGGACTTGGTTGGAGACTCTGGCTACAGCTATGCTAAAATAACAATTGTTAACTCTTGCCTTTTGATAACATTGGTTGAAGTTAACATTTGTCTCCTCTCACAGATACGTGAATATGAGTGGATCCACTCTCAGTCTAAAAGGTTGAAATTCAATGCACTTATCACAACATATGAGATCCTTCTCAAGGATAAGGTGGGTAGTGGTCCAAGGATTTTTTTATTTGGACTTTCTCTCGCTTGCAGGGGGGGAAGCCAGCCCCCAACAAGTGGATTTCACCTCTTTCCTCTGTGGTGATGGAGAATGTATAGCTACTATTTGCTTTTGCTTGCCAGTAATGCAGAGGGGGTGTGGGACACCCATTGCAGTGTCTTCACTCTTGTACTGTGGCAGTTGTGTTATTCTTTATACGTGTAAGACACCAGGCAGGGCAGTAGCTGGATTTTACCTGGTTTAATTTAGGCTAATTAAGAGGTCAAAACATTACACGGAACCGCTGGCCACAGTCTTAACAATATCCAGATTTTTACACTTAGGAGAAATCTGTCTGCTTAGGAAATGCTCATCAACGCTGTTCGTGCATCACTGAGTCCTAGCAGAAAACAAGAAGCTTAATACTAATGCAAGAAAAAAAAAACATCAAAACTCTCAGGTTACCTTAACTTTATAGTCTTGTTTTTCTGCTCTACTGCTGCTGCTCCAGTGGGGCTAGTGCTGCAGCAGGGCCCTAGGGCCATGAAGAAAGGGAGGAGGTGCGAGCTGAGGGAGGACTGTGTTTTTTGGGTAAAGCAAAGGTGGATTAGAATAGGTATACTTGCTGAAAGACTGTTCAGATATGGCAAGAGTGCTATACAGCATGGCTAGTCTAGGGCTGGGGCAGGACACCCTGGAAAGCACACGCTGCAGTGCTTTCTGGCCATGGAGAGAGAGGCATGTGCAAGGTGGTGGGTTCTCTGACCCAGCGTCTCCTTGGGGCCTGGTTTTTTTTGCTTCTTTTTCTCCAGGCTGTTTTGGGAAGTATTAACTGGGCCTTTCTAGGCGTGGATGAAGCTCATCGGTTGAAAAATGATGACTCTTTGCTGTACAAAACGTTGATTGACTTCAAGTCCAACCACAGGCTGCTGATCACCGGCACCCCACTTCAAAATTCACTCAAAGAGCTTTGGTCCCTGCTGCATTTCATCATGCCAGAGAAGTAAGTCTCCTTTTGGTCCTTCAAAAAATACCTCTGTGTCCATTCTTGTCTGTTTAATAGACTTGAGGGAGTGCAGAATGGCAGAAATCCCTGAATTAAATCCCTGAATTAAACTCAGTGGAGTTAGAGCAATGAAAGGGGAACAAACATTGGTGGAGAAAATCAGAGGTTAAATGACTAACACAAGGAGTATTTCTGGCAGAAAATTGAATGGGGAAACCCAATACATGTCTTTCAAATGTGTTTGCTGTCTTAGAGCCATCTCTAAAAAGCTAAACTTGTTTCAAGCAATCATCTCAAACTGTTTCTGAGGTTTCCAGTACATTGTGGTTCAGCCACCCTCACCAACCATTTTATGGCAGTCTCTAGGAGTATTGCTCAAGGCCAGCGCTGTCTAGCCAATTGTTCACGTGTCCGCATTATAACAAATGTTTTGTTTTCTTTAAAACAAAATGGGCTAAGACAAGCAAGCCCGAAGACTCACCAAAACTATATTTGACTGCAAAAAGAGCTGTCCCCCAAATTCTTTTTGCTGGATCACAAAAAGAGTGAAGGAAAGAGTCAGGATCTCCCTCCCAAGTGGAGGAGACAAGCAGAACTCTGCATTTCAAAGGAGCTGTTGGAGGAAGCAGCAATCCAAAAAAGCCTCAGAGCAGTGTAAAATATAGTCCAGTTATCAAAGCCCTGCCTAGGGGAGGGCATTGTGGAAAGTTCAGGAACTGCTGCCAGGTAAACGCCAGCAGGAGACAGCAGAGCAGAATACTGGAAAACCTGGGATTTTGGGTTCTGGGAGTTGGTGTGGAGCTCAAAGGTAAGATGTTAGGAAGGCACCTAAGCCCAGAGAGCTTCTAGCTTTACCACCAGTCTGTTTAGTTAGCCAGAGCAGAGTGAACCTTTTATCCTCCACTGTATCTCCATCAAATCGATGATCTCCTGTCTTCTTGTGCAGCGGGAGCATATCTGGTAGATGATGTTTTGTGTGATAAGACAAGAGGTATTCTCACCCCTCTCTGCTCCTCGTTTCTGTTGCTAGATTTGAGTTCTGGGAGGATTTTGAAGAGGATCATGGAAAAGGTAGAGAGAATGGCTACCAGAGCCTTCACAAAGTCCTGGAGCCATTTCTCCTACGCAGAGTGAAGAAGGATGTGGAGAAATCCTTACCAGCCAAAGTGGAGCAGATCCTCCGCGTGGAAATGTCTGCTTTGCAGAAACAGTATTACAAGTGAGTCATTTATTAAGTTACTGGGAGTGCCAGTAGAAATGGGCACACCTTTCTGTGTGCCTTGGAAGTATGTTTGAGTATGCTTTGTCGTTCAGAATGCAATGTGACAGCCATCACCTGTAGCAGTAGGGGCTTCACGGTAGGAGTCTGATGTAGGGTCTTGTGGTATCTTTTCCTCTGTATAGTTTAGAGATGCTTTTTTAGCGTGATACAGTTCAGCTGGCCAGTTTTGCAGGACAGAAGCAAAGGGGTTTTTTGGGGGGGAGTAAAGCACCCCACAAAATTGTGGTGCTGTTTAATGTTAAACTGTAATAATATCAAGGGGGAAGTAAGATCAGGGTTTCTAGTGAGGGAACAGCAGTATCCTGTAGAAGAAGTGAAGAATGATGGAGGGAGGGAAGTAGACTGATGCCTGAACAAGATGTCCCTGAAGGTTTTATTCCTCCCAGGCTCCAACATGCCTAGTCTGCACTGTGAAATGATCTAGAGTTTTTGTTTTCCTGCCTGCAGGTGGATTTTGACAAGAAACTACAAAGCTCTTTCAAAGGGAACGAGGGGGAGCACATCTGGTTTCCTGAACATTGTGATGGAGTTGAAAAAGTGCTGCAACCATTGCTACCTTATCAAACCTCCTGAGGAAAATGAGAGAGAGAATGGTCTTGAGACACTGCAGGTGGGCAGTGTCTTTGGTTACCATGGTTTTTCCTTAACTTTACCCTTTCTTTTGTCCTCCCACCAAGATAAGATTTGGTGAAGCATTAGCTTGTGCTGCTTCTCTATTAGAAATAGTCCTCACAGCTGAGCCACTGAATCTCCTGCCCTTCCCTTCCACTATAGGCAGTTTTGTGGCCATCTAGAGTGGGAGGTTTGTGCAATGTAAGATCTGTCTTGGATGTTTCATTTTATGTGTGGCTTCTGCTGTGTAAATCCAGAAGATTTGATTAGAGATGTATGGGAGAAGCATGACCCCAAAAGAACCAGATCTCTGCATGTTTCTGTGTAGTGTACGTAAGGGTAAGGTTGGAAAGCATCAGCTGGAATGACGATTACTTCTTCAGTCTCTGATCAGGAGCAGTGGAAAGCTAATTCTCTTGGACAAGCTGCTGACCAGGCTGCGGGAGAGAGGCAACAGAGTGCTGATTTTCTCCCAGATGGTGAGGATGCTGGACATCTTGGCAGAGTACCTGACTATCAAACACTACCCTTTTCAGGTGAGAAACATCAGCATGGAAAACAGTGGGGTTCACTTGAAAATTCAAGAAAATGCAGAGGGAGGCTAGGCAATGGGAGTCACTGAGTTTCCCAGAGGCTGGTGGCTGGGATTACAGGTTGCACTTACTGAAATACACTGAAAGCAGCTGGGAAGTCCCTTCATTTCAGTGCAGCCCCATCTCTGCAGAACACCTTCTCTGACAGGCCCCTGCTTTGGCCTTCGTCCTGTGATAAACCCTGAGCAGAAGATAGCAAACACAGAGACCCTGGCTGGGAGCCTGTAACAGGAGCTGCAGTGTCACCCGCTGTGTGACTAGTGCCTGAGCATACCCCCCTCCTGCCCTCGCGACGCAGCAGGCTAAGGCAGCGCAGTTATTTTTAATTGGTGGTTATTTTTAATGATTAAATATTGCAGGCAGGGAAGGGGGCTGTAGGGCTCCCAGACCTTGGGTGCAGCAGTTCCTCGGGGCTCCTTTACCTTCTTTCTTTTATCATTATTGTTGATTTTTCCAGCGCTTGGACGGCTCAATCAAAGGGGAGATCCGAAAGCAGGCGCTGGACCACTTCAACGCTGACGGCTCTGAGGTACTGCAGCTGGGGCTGTCCGGCCTCAGGAGGGTCCGGGTGGGCTGCTCAAGCAGCAGGCATTTATGGCTGAGCTGCAGGTTGTGACTGCCAAGAGGGGATTAGTTCAGTTCATTTCTTTTTGCAGGACCCGAGATACTTTTAAAGACACAGATATAGCAGGTTTTGCGACTAGCCATATTGCTTATTTTAAATCTCCCACATCCAAAGAACGGGGCTGCATGTCACATCTCCAGAGAGTCCTGAAGAGGCTGGGAAGAGCCAAAATTTAGCAATTCTCTCCCCATGGTCTGGGGAATGAGACGGTTGCTAAATGATTCCTCCAGTCTGAAACTGGTTTTGGATATGAAATGGCATAGGCAAAAGGGGGATTTTAAGTGTTGGCAGGCAGTGGAGTCTGGTGTTGGAGGTGAAAATCGTAATAAGTCCCAGTGTAATAGGAGAGGGCATCTCAAGCCTCTCGTCTGGGCTTGCTGACTCACAGTGACTGGTGCAAGGCACTTGTTTTGTGCCGCAGTCAGCCCAGCCCTGTGAAATACCTTTCCTCACTCCAGAAGCCTGGACTGGAGGGAGATTCTTGGCTGACACAGGAGATACAGCTACGTGCTTCGTGGTCATGGGAAAGTTAACAAATAAAAGTGAGAAGGAGACAGCAGTGTGGGTGGGAAAGGAGTAGAAGCTGCCCTTTGCCCTCCTCTGAGGGCATGCATGGGGGCTCAGGCATCCTGGCTCTAACCTGGCATCCTGTGTCCTTGGGCAGTGACTCAAACAGTCTGTGTTAGTTGCTGATCTCACCTCCAGCAGGCTTCAGGCAACAAAAAGCATGCGTTTGCCTGCTGCCTTTGTAGGAGTCTGGTGGGCAGCGTGGTCCAACCATCCAACCTCCAAAAGTGACTCCAAGGTGCCCTTGCCCTGAGCTGTTTGCATTGCTCTCCCATAACAATGCACGCTGGGCCCTTCCTGGAATAGCACCCCTTGCACCCCTGCCAGCACCGCCTCACCTTGTGCCTCAGCTTAAAGACCAGTGGTACTTAGCCTGCGTGAGCAGGGTGTGTGGGAAGGAAATCCTTTTTCTGCTTTATTAAGAAGCATGATTGCAACAGAGCCCTCCCTCCGTTTCCTTGCATAGCTTTGAAGTCACCATTGCTATTTTATGTCCACAGTTATAGGCTGGCTAACTCATGGATGCCTTTCTTTCTTCCCTCCCCATCCCTGCCCAGGACTTCTGTTTCTTGTTGTCAACACGAGCTGGAGGGCTGGGAATTAATTTGGCCTCTGCTGATACTGTTGTCATCTTTGACTCGGACTGGAACCCCCAAAATGATCTTCAGGCTCAGGCTCGGGCTCACCGAATTGGACAAAAGAAGCAGGTTGGAGGAGTTACCTGGGTTTTTTTCTCTGTGGCTTCAGTGTGTACATCTAAATGGGCTCCCACCTCACCAGAGCTTCCAGAAATATGGTCTTTTTGCCCCCAGTCCTGACTCCAGAGAGTACTGCCAACTCAAGGGAAGCTCATTTAAAAGCCAGGAAACAAAGAATCAGCCCAGATTTGACAGATACCAAGTCTTTCTGTTGGCCTTGGATCCTGGCATGGTTCAAAACCAAGAACCCAACCCATGGCATCACACTTGTCAGCCTGGTGGACTCTGTTCTTTCTTGCCCTGAAAATCTTGGAAAGTAGAACATCCACCTTTACTAGGGTTTTATTAGATATGTGAAAAGTTTGATGCTAGTTTGGATTTAGAGTGATGGTTTCAGAAGATTTTTACTCTGTGCTTAGGCACACTGCAGGATCTGTGTTAATCAGATTGATTTTAGCTGATCCCCCTGAGATATTAAAAGTATGTGATGGTTTTTATTCTAAAAAGACATACTTGTGCATGAAGGGACCATGTCAGCAGACTAGTCTCCTGCAAAACCACTGAGGGATGCACCACTGTGTCAGCAGAGCATGTTCAGGTCCAGGAAATAGCTGTTCTTTTCTTGCCCTTCAGGTGAATATTTACCGCCTGGTCACAAAGGGTACGGTAGAGGAGGAGATCATTGAGAGGGCCAAGAAGAAAATGGTGCTGGATCATTTGGTGATCCAGCGTATGGACACCACTGGCCGGACTGTTCTGGACAACAACTCTGGGCGATCCAAGTAAGTGATTGTGTCAGGAGGCAGAGATGTCTGGCACAGCATGTGGCATAACCAGCTTCATCTGCTGGTATCTCACAATATTTGTTTGATAGGATACAGGGCAGAAGGCTAAGAAATAATGGGAGCATCCACTGACTTGGCTCATGCAACCATTAATTTGGATACATAGGACAAAAATTACGAGAAATCGGAAACTAGCTTTTGCATTACCTGTTTTTCCTTCTGTATTCCTCCCAGAGATCATCCGGGTCTGAGGAAAGTTGGTGGTGGAAGAGCTGCAGTTCGGAAGTGAGCTCAGACTCTCCCCATTTACCCCCCAGTAGATGGAGGTTATTCCCTTTACAGTAGTTGTCCGTGCTAGAGCAGGAAAGAGATGAGGGAGTGAATAAAAAGGCTTTTTATAGTGTTGGGTAGAAAACTTACTTCTTGTTTTAATTAGGAAAAACTTTGGTATGATTTTGTGCTGTAGCAGTGCTGACTTAAGAGCTCGAAACACAATTTCCTTCTCATTTATTCTTGCAGCTCAAATCCTTTCAACAAAGAGGAGCTGACAGCTATTCTGAAGTTTGGAGCTGAAGATCTCTTCAAGGAGCTTGAAGGGGAAGAGTCAGAGCCTCAGGTAGTCTGAAATTGAAATCATGTAGCTGTTTGTAGTCCTCTGCAGGTCTGCATGGGGGATCATGTGTGTTTGCTCCCTCTTTGTATTTGCCCTGTGCGTGAGAGCAGGTTGGTGAGTAGGGCACGTGTGAGTCTGGAGAAGCTGAAGGAAGAGAGCTCTGGGGTTGGGGGATCAAGGGTTGAGAAGAGCCTTGTTGTTGGGGGTTAAATAGTAATGGTCACCAAGAGAGTCCCTTGGCTAGTTATAGCACAGCCTGCTGAAAGCTCCTCTCCCTGCCTCCTCTGAGCACCTCTTCAGCACCCTTTTTCGGTTGTTCTCATAGAGAGGAAGCAGTCAGCACAGTGAAGTCGAGTTAAGTTGCTCTCTCCTGCCTCAGCGCAGCATTGCTTGACAGTTTAGTATTGAGTGCTTTGACCGATTCTCTTAATGGCCTGAATAGCACAGCTTCCCCCAAGGGAAACAGTCGACAGTTGATACATCTCACTGTCTAGAAATTTTCCCTGCTGCTCAGCCTTGAGGTTCCTTTTCTTCTGTACTATCACCCTTATTTATACTCTTTTGTACCACTTGAGATAGTTCATCCCTGCCCTCAGTGATGACACCCTGCAGATATTTGCACTTTATTTAGCTCATATCAGCACAGTGTGTATTTAGCTGTTGCACCCCACAAGTCTGTTCTCAAAGCCTCTTTATTTCCTGCTGTGCTTGGCACCCTCCACTTTATCACTCTTTCTTTCTGACCGGTAGGAGATGGACATTGATGAGATTTTGCGTCTGGCTGAAACACGAGAGAACGAAGTGTCTACCAGTGCCACTGACGAGCTCCTCTCCCAGTTCAAGGTACGGACCCTGAGGCTTTGTAGTGGGGTGCGGGAATGTGGCTCCCCACATCTTGCCATGGTGGTAAGGACAAATCAGGCCTGGTGAGAGGTGACCTGTACAAAGCAGTTTGCTGAGGGGTTGTCTGGGTTTGGTAGCTGGGAAGATATGTAGGTATTCATTTCATTTCAAGTAAGTGGTTTTGAAGGCTGTGAATAAAATGCACAATTTACCAAATTTGGAAACAAACCCAGTAACTTACAGAGGCTCAGCAATACTTGTTAAACTGCACGTACTTCCTCAAAAGCTGTTAGCCCAAAGACGTGGCAAGGAGTGTAGTGACATAGGGATCAGTTATAAAGTAGTTATGGAAATGTTGGCAAAATTCCTGTGGGGAAGGAGTTGAGGCTTAGCAGACAGTTCTGGTGTATTCCTGCCAGGGGAGGGAATTTCTAAAAGTGTTCTTTTGCTTATAAAAGGTGGCCAACTTTGCAACCATGGAGGAGGAGGAGACAGAGCTGGACGAGCGGTCCCAGAAGGACTGGGAAGATATCATTCCAGAGGAGCAGAGGAAAAAGGTGGAGGAGGAAGAAAGGCAGAAAGAGTTGGAGGAAATCTACATGCTGCCTCGAATCCGGAGCTCAACTAAAAAGGTATGGCCCATCCCGAGGAGCTGAGAGGCAGGAGGTGAGAGCTGGCAAAGGCAACACTCAGGGGAAGCCTTCTTGCCATCTGAGTGCTTCTTTCCCTCCTCCAGACTTGTTTAGGAGTAAAGCACAGAGGTAGCACATTGGCCTCTTGTTGACATCGTGCATTGGGCCCGTGGTTTGTAATGCAGCGCAAGGGCCCATATTGGATTTGGTATGACTAATCTTGTCTTAGCAGACAAAATAAAGAGAACCTGTAGTGAGCACAGGGCAAAATATCTAACTGTTTAATGCAGATTTTACTGTAGTTTTTACCATTTTCTGGCTGTTTCTTTTTTCTGGACTCTCTAGCTCCCTGGGCTTTTCTTGCCTAAATGTGGCTCTTGCAGGCAAAAGGCATGGTGTCTTCCCAAGTTCTTTTTTAGGTGGTGGGATCTACTGCAGTCCAACAGAAAGCAGACTGTACAAGGAAACTCTTCTGGGATATGGGACTTTAAGGGGTTATGAACTGTTCTCTGGGATAAGCTGGGGAAAAATATTAAAGTGAAAACTAGACAGAAGGATAATTCATATGGGATGATTCCAGATTCATTTCTGAGGAGTCATGGTTTTCAAAACAGCCTGAGGGACTGTGGCACAAAACCATGGTAATCAATGTGTTTTAATGTATCTTATACCTTAGTAAACCAAAATGCAATTGTGAAACTGCTGGCTAGAAGGCTCTAAAGGGAGGATGACCGTCAGAGCCTTAGCTAGCTGGAAACTGCAAGGGTGTGCAGCTTCTCTGGGTTGATTACATGGGTTTCTGCATCTTCAGGAAGAGATGCCAAGGTGGTTTACAGTCTGAACGTGTAATAGTGCCAGTGCATGGGAGGGACAGAAGAGGTTGGCAGATTAGCAGTTGTTAACTGTACTGCTGTTTTTCTGGTACATACAGGCTCAGACAAATGACAGTGAATCAGATGCAGAAACTAAGAGAAGGCTTCAGAGATCATCTGGATCAGAAAGTGAGACTGATGATACCGATGACGAGAAGAGACCAAAGCGCAGGGGTCGTCCTCGAAGTGTTAGAAAAGATACTGTGGAAGGATTTACGGATGCTGAAATCAGAAGGTCAGTGCTGAGCACAAGAGGCAGTTTGGAGAACAAATATAGAAATCCCATGCAGGTGGAGAAAACCCCAGATTAATCCAGGAGGTGATCACCTGTAAGCACATCAGTGGTTTAGGTGGAGCTGGTTCACTGGGCTAGCTTCTGCACCTTTGTACAATTGAGTTTTCTCCCAGCTGATGACCTTAGCATTCAGGTCTGTGCAAAATGGACTGGATTGTCTTTAGTCAGGCTGCAGTGAAGCTGATACCTTCCTAAAATTAATCCTTGTTGTAACTGCCCTTCCTGGGCCAAGTGGCTTGAGCTAATTCCATATTACATGTGAGGTCTTAAGTGCTATGAGATACAGAGCTGGAGAAGCCAAGGACTCTGGCCTTCCTGACATTTTCCTGGCAGTAGTCCTGCTGATTTAAGCTTTAAGTGAAAGGCAAGCTCTGGCAAAACAACCCCATGAGAAGCACTGGTCCTGTTGATCGCAGTGGTTGTGTATCCTCTTCTGCACTGTGTCCCTGAAGTCAGCTGGGGGCTGAATTCCAGAGCAGTATTTTCTTCTATCTATATCTTCTAATTCTTGAGCCTTTCCCAAAGATCTTTGTCTTATGGCTCTGCCCAGATGTTCAGCCAGAGATGGAAAAGAGGGGGTTGTGAATTTTTCTTGAATCTCTCTCTGTTTCTGAGTTGATGTATTTTTAAATAGGAGATGGTTAGACTTTTCAGACTGCGGTAGCTGCCCCATATGCAGCCTGAAACCATAGAGAAGGAAGAAGGTGGTGTGATGTTGTCATGGTTTAGCCCCAGCCAGCAACT